TGGAAGGGGGGGGAGGGGGGGAGAGATCGTAAAAAGGACTCAGCATGACAAATTTGGGGGGGCAAGGGTCAAAGGTCAAGATGTGTAAACGAAGGGGGAATATTTCCCTCTTAACTTAAGGTATAGGAGGAAATACGGAATTGCGGCACAAATCTTAACGGCTCGACCTATATGCTCTTAATATTTGGTGTATAGTGTGATGGGCAGGAAACCCATTACCAGTGCGAAATTGGAGGTCACAGGTCAAAGGGCAGTGGGGGAAAGGTCAGATATCAGACATTTTCTGAGGACATGGCTTAATGGACAGAGTGAAAAACTTTTTTGTTTCAGCACTGACCTACCATTTTTATCACTTTATTGAAAGGACCATGAAATGTGCTTTCCACTGACATTCGAAGAGTAAGTGTTTGATATCCTTTGACCCTCAAGAGGAGGGTTAAACATGAATTCCTGAACTGCCTCAATGACGTCACAGTCTTGGCATATTCATGGCACATCCATAATCTAGAAACCCAATAAGCCTGGATAGCCGAACGCGTACAGCGCGCGTCACGGCTCAAAGGTCATTGGATCGAATCCGATGTGATTTTTTATTATTTACCTGTTTTCTGTATTTTTCTATCTTTATCCATTTAACTATTTTTTTCCAATTAACGCAAATATTTACATGATTTATTTACAACGATACAATATTACAAAAATTTAATAAGGTTAAGGTTAGGGTTAGGGTCACAATGCACCATAAAACAGGAGTTTCAGGCACGCGATTTGTATCAACCAATTGGATTTGGGAGGTATGCAGAAGGTTGCTGAAATGATGTGTACGCAACTGCGTATCTGCATATCTGCGCCTAACAAAGGTGTCACTACGCACGACTTAAATGTTACGTTTATAACCGTAGCAACAGACCTCAGATGAGCCTAGACGCTCTGCGGCTCTTGTGTTTTTTCACGTGTTTTGTTTGTATTAATTGCATTCTTCACACTCTACTATGTCTCATTAAATAAGTTCATTCGGTTGGTAGACTAATAGATCTATCAGGGTTAATTGTTACTCAACCGTGAAGATTAAAAACGTAACAGCTGACGTTTCGCCTCCTATCAGGAGGCTTTCTCAAAGAGAGCTTTATAGGAGGCGATAGATCTACTATGTCTGACGTGATTCTGTAGGCATCCGTACTACTCATCGCAGACGCAAATTCTTGTAAAGTACTGCAAAGTAAAAGCTGCTATTAGTTTTCTGATTGCCGCGACTGCTTTTTGTGGCTGTTCACGGGTACTGCTAATTGTTTGTTGATATATATATATATATAATATAGTATACACAAGGACTGCAGCCCTTTGCGTGACCGTCACTCCTGATCTATTCAACAACAGCGAGAAAGAGAATGAACACAAAACGACGGAATTCTTTTTCTCAGCGGTGTGATTCGAATAACGCCTTCGCACTTTTTGTTTTTAGCTCATCTGACATAGTCAGATGCAGCTTGTAGAATCGCATGATCGTCCGTCCGTCCGGTCGTCCGTCCGTCCGGTCGTCCGTCCGTCCGGTCGTCCGTCCGTCCGTCAACAGTTGGGCACAAATCTTAACCGCTCGACGTACGGTCACGATATTCGGG